TTTTTTGAGACGGAGTCTCGCTTTGTCACCCAGGCTGTAGTGCAGTGGTATGATCTCAGCTCACTGCAAGCTCCACCTCCCGGGTTCATGCCATTCTCCTGCCTCAGCCTCCCGAGTAGCTGGGACTACAGGCACCTGCCACCATGCCCGGCTAATTTTTTGTATTATTTCATTTTTTTTTTTAAGAGATGAGGGGCCAGTCCCGGTGACTCATACCTGTAATTCCAGCACTTTGGGAGGCCATGGCGTGTGAATCACCTGAGGTCAGGAGTTCGAGACCAGCCTGGCTAACATGGCAAAACCCCGTCTCCACTAAAAATACAAAAATCAGCTGGGCACGTTGGCGCACACCTGTGTTACCAGCTACGCAGGAGACTGAGGCAGGAGGATCACTTGAACCGGGAGGCAGAGGTTGAAGTGAGCCAAGATCACGCCCCTGCACTCCAGCCTGGGCGACAGAGCGAGAATTTGTCTCAAAAAAAAAAAGAAAAAAAAAGAGACGGGGGTCTCATCATGTTGCCCAGGCTGTAGTTTTACATTTACATTTAGGTCTGTAATCAATTTCAAGTTGATTTTTGGTTTTGGTGTAAGAAAAGGTAGCTGTTCGTATTTTGTTTGGGAGGAGCATGTCCAGTTGTTTCGGAATCATTTTTAAGATTTTTAAATTTAGTTTTTTTGTGGTAAAATATACATAACAAAATTTACCATTTTAACAATTTTTAAGTGTACAATTTTGTGTCATTAAGTGAACTCACCACCATCTCCAGAACATTTTCATCACCCCATGTTAAGCTCTACTCATTGAACAGTAATTCCTCCAGTCTCCTTTCCACCCAGCTCTTAGAACCATGGTTCTGCTTTCTTTCTCAATGTGTTTGACTATTCTAGGGACCTCTCGGCAACATTTTTAAAGACTTCCTTTTCCCACTGAATTCCCTTTGCACTTTTGTTGAAAACCAGTTGACCACATATGTGTGGGTCTATTTCTGGACTGTCTCTATTCTTTTCCTTTGATCTATATAACTTTCTTCAATTCCATACTGTTTAATTTCTGTAACTTTATAGTAAGTCTTGAAAGCAGATAAGTCCTGTAACTTTGTTCTTTTTTAATTTGTTGGCTATTCTAGGTCATTTTTATTTCTATATAAATTTTAGGATCAACTTGTCAATTTCTAACTCCCCAGGAAAGCCTGCTGGGAATTTGACTGGTATCACATTGAATCTATAAATATACTGAGAGAATAGATATCTTACTAACATTGAATTTTCTATTATATGAACATATATATTCCCTCATTTATTTACTTATTTATTTTGTAGGGGCAGGGTCTTGCTTTATTGCCAAGGCTGGTCTCAAACTCCTGACTTCAAACAATCCTCCTGCCTTAGCCTCCCACATATTTTGGTCCTCTTTAATTTATCTCAGCAATGTTTAGTAGCTTTCACTGTAGTGTTCTTACACATTTTTGCTAAATTCATTCCTAAAAATTTTGTGTTATTTCATGTATTACAAATAAAAATTTTAATATAATTTTAATTTCATTTTCTTTTTTTTTTTTTTGGAGGCAGAGTTTCACTCTTGTTGCCCAGGCTGGAGTACAATGACATGATCTTGGCTCACTGCAACCTCTGCCTCCTGGGTTCAAGTGATTCTCCTGCCTCAGCCTCCCAGGTAGCTGGGATTACAGGTACCCGTCACCATGCCGGCTAATTTTTTTATTTTTAGTAGAGACAGGGTTTCAACATGTTGGCCAGGCTGGTCGTGAACTCTTGACAGGTGATCCACCTGCCTTGGCCTCCCAAAATGCTGGGATTACAGGCATGAGCCACTGTGCCAGCCTCATTTTCTAATTGTTGATAATATACAAAATCACCTTTTTTTTTTTTTTTCTTTTTGAGACAGGGTCTCACTTTGTTGCCCAGGATGGAGTGCAGTGGCACGATCTCGGCTCACTGCAGCCTTAACTTCCCAGGCTCAAGCTGTCCTCCCACCTCAGCCTCCTGAGTAACTGGGACTACAGGCATACACCACTATGCCCAGCTAATGTTTGTATTTTTAGTAGAGAAACACAAAATACACAGGTTTTCACCATGTTGCCCAGGCTGGTCTCAAACTCCTGAACTCAAGGGATCCACCCACCTCAACCTATCACACAACCATCTTTTGCATATAAACTTTGTAGCCTGTGACCTTGTTAAATTGCTTAGTTCTAGCTACTTTTTTTTT